ATAATCGGCAAAAATTACGCCAATTAGTATAACGAAAATCACGTGGTCCAATACTTTTGACCGGGGAGTGTACTTATAAATTAAAAATAAAGTAATATGAAGAACCTATTATCTATATATATAGTATATAAGCATTTATTTTAATTAATTAAATTTTTATGAATTTTAACTGTTTCTTTTATTTATTTTTTTTAAAAAAATAATTTCCTTTTCTTTATAAAAATATTTAAGTAATTTTATTTTAAAATTTGTCTCTCAGCATAAAAATAGAATAATTATACAAGTAATCATAAAGGTAGGAGTTCCTTTTCTGTTTACTTTCTGCTATTTTAAAAGAATTAAAAGAAAAAAAAGGGAATGTTTTTAACATTTTATTCTATTTGAATGATTATTTTTTTTAGGTTGGATCACTTCTGTCTGAAGTTTAAAAAAAACCTGAAAAAATAAATAAAATTTTCATGTAATTTTGATACAAGGTTTCTCAGAAATTTTAGTAAAAACGTTATTAATTATTTTTGGAATATCTAACGTTTAGTTACATCATTAATTCTTAGTGATATGATATATTTCAAAAATCAAATTTTTTTTACTTTTTTAATTCAGTAAGTTCTCACTTTTTGGCATTTTAAGTTTTTTAAATAGATAAATATTTAACAAAATATAAATAAAAAAAAGCTCTTTTATTAAAAAAAATTTAATATTTTAATAAAATTATTTTTATTGAAGTTAATATTAAAAGGTAATTATCTGTTTCACTACATTTTCAAATAATTAATATCTAATAAAACCTTCATCATTCGTTAGATATTTAACTATTTATATAAATTTTATTAATATATGGGACCTTTGCAATAGAAAGGGGAAACTGCCGGAAAAATCAATTTAACTTATGATTTTTAGGTCAAATATGTTTAGATTTAGCATTAACTCATTTTTATTTTTCCAGCAGTTTCCCCTTTTTTATTGCAAGGCCTCATATAGTCTAAAAAAATGTGATGTATAGCATATAGATCAAAAGATTAGAAGCGGTTATACATTCAGACGAAGTTTTAATGAATTAAAACGTCAATTTTTCTATTTACCATAGTTAATTAATAAAATAAAAAGTTTATATGTAGTAACGATCTGCTCCAGATGATTGTACGATTTTTTTAAAATGTAAAATTTTTGTGTTCGTGTTCCATCTGCAAAATCATCGACATTTTTGGAATCTCATTTATGACCGGAGGCTTAAGAAAATTGATTAACGTTACACAATTTACAAACTGCATTTCTCTTTCATTTTGTTATCATTTTCGTTATTATACAAAATCAAAATGCAAAGTTCCAATAATTCAAATGAGTGGATTAATTGGATTGAAGAATCTATCTCCAAGAAACTGTTTAATACTACGAATTCGAACATTTTAGTAATATTCTGGAGATTGGTACCGGCAGATTTGGAAAAGTATATCGTGCAAATTGGAAAAATTCAAATCAACCTCTCGCGTTAAAAACGTTTCATAGGTTTGTCAATGACGCTGTTAAAAGCTTGTTTATGAGGTAATTTCAAATTATAATATGTACAGTAATTCTGTCTATTTAGTATATACTGGAGATTTATATCAAGCTAAAAATTATATTTACAACAACTAGCTTGAACATCAACGTGAGGTTGATTTTCATAGCAATATTATTCGCTTAAATGGGATTACAACTTCAAATCAAGGTATTTAAATCTCATTATGAGATTTATAGCGATATGTACTTTTATATTTATTAACATATCTATACTTTTTTTTTAAAAAAAAAAATTGTAAAATTAGAAAGTCAAACTTATCAATTGAAAAGATATTGGTTAGTTATGGAATATGCTGACGGTGGTTCACTTAGAAATTATTTGAAATATAATTTGATAAGCTTGCTTGGGGAGTCAAATACAACCTGGCATTTCAGTTGTCTAGTGCAGTAACGTGTTTACATGAAGAAGGAATTGTGCATCGTGATTTGGTAATATATTTTATTAAGGAATATTGTTATTTAATAATTAAACAGTTATTTATTTCTATCTTAGCATTCCGGCAATGTATTAATTCATCAAGGTATTATCAAACTAGCCGACTTTGGATAATCGAAAAGAATTGAAGTAGCAACTAGTCAGTCAAAAGTATTCGGAGTAATTCCATATGTGGACTCAAACGCTTATAATACATCACAATATACACTAAGTGAAAAAAGTGATGTTTATAACGTTGGCGTCCTTTTATGGGAGATATCAAGTGGTTATCCTCCTTTTAATGGTAAAGGATACGACCTTTGTTTAGCTATAAGTATTTTACAAGGTCATAGAGAAAACATCATTCTTGGTACACCTGAAGATTATGTAAAAATTTATACTAGTAAGTATATTTATTATTACATATTTAATTAAATATTATGATAGAAATTTGATTATATATTATGTTTTTAGAGTGCTGGGATCATGAGCCAGATAATCGTCCAGAGATGTATCAAGTAGCTGATAAATCAAATGCAATAATTACGACAACAGATCATATCAAATGAGTAAAGATGAATCATGTCGGATTGTTCAATTTAATCAGATAAATTGTCAAATGAATAATCATGAATCAAATATTTCTGAAATTAATCAAAATTTCGATCAGATTAAACTAGAAAAGTTATAAACGAATAATGCGAGTAAATGGATAGAAGATGGTTTGATTAATGAAAAAGTTGCATTTATATCTTTTAATGAATTTACTGATTTAGAACAACTTGATACAGGAGGTTTTGGAAGCATTGTAAAAGCAACTTGGTTGAAAACCGGGGAATGTATTGTATTTAAAACATTGGTAAATACAAATACTTTCAGACAAGATACCTTTATTGAGTAATCAAATTATACATTGTTTAGGTATTAGTCAAGGTAATTATTATAATTACTAAATATTAATATTTTAATTATGATTATTTATTAATTTATTAATTACAGATCCAGATACAAATAAGTATCTTGGTATGATAAGAAAAAATTAGCATTTCAGATTGCAAATGGATTAAATTACTTGCATAATAAAGAAGTCTTACATAGAGATTTAGTAAGTTTTATTTTTTGTTATATTTATCTATTAAATTAAAATAAATTTCTGAATTTTATTTATATCACATAATTTTATTTAACATTCTAAGAATTCATAAAAATAATGCTAAGATTACAGATTTTGGTATTTCAAAATTTGGAAATAATTCTATTACACACATCGGACCTTGTGGTAAAACTGCTTATATAGAACCACAAATACTTGCAAATCACAATTTCCAATACATTAAACCCTCCGATATTTATAGTTATGGTGTATTGATGTGGGAACTTCTAGTGGATATCCTCCACCATTTAAAGACAAAAATAGTGGGACAATTAGTGCTATTATTATTAACAACAAAGCTCGTGAAAATACTATACCAGATACTCCTATAAATTATGAAAGCCTTTATAAAAAATGTTGGGATCAAGAACCCGAGCAAAGACCAACTATTACAGAAATATTAGAAGAATTCTTAAGGATGAAGTTTGTAAATAAACCGATTAAAAGTATGTATATTTTTATAATTAATAGTAATTGAAATTTTAAGTTTATTTTAATATTAATTTATTTAAATTTAATAAAAATGAAGGTAATAATTTGTTTGGATTGTTCAATAACAAATTAAACAATAAAGTAAAAGTCATACATTTTAATGAGTTAATAGATTTAAAACCACTTGATGAAGGCGCCTTTGGTAGTATCATAAAAGCAACTTGGTCAAAAAAAAATAATTATATTGTCTGTAAAAAATTAAAGCGCAAATAATTAAGTGCGATGTTGAAATTAAGTGTATTGATTAATGAGTTAAAAATACATTTGCATCTATAGTAATCGAATTATTCGTTTATTAGGTATTAGTCAAGGTAATGTAATGTGGTAATTATTTATTTTTTAAGTAATTTTAATTACTAATTCAAAAAATTGGTTAAAGATCCAAATTCAAATGAACTTTATTCTGTAATGGAATATGCAAATGGCGGTAAACTTCAAAGCTACCTTGAGAATAATTTTGAAATGTTAACTTTGAATTATAAAAAAATTTAGCATTTCAAATTGCAGGTGGGATAAATTATTTGCATAATGAGAATGTTTTACATCGAGATCTTGTAAGTATTAGAATAATTACTTTATTTGTTAAATTTTATGTAAGTTATTAATGATGCACTTTAATTTAGCATTCTAAAAATATAGTAATTCATGAAAATAATGCCAAATTTGTGGATTTTGGTAGTTCAATAGTTGAAAATAATTCCACAATGCACTTTGGACTTTTTGGTAAAACTGCGTATATGGAACCACAAATACTTACCGATCAAAATCTTCAATATATTAAACCTTCAGACATTTATAGTTTTGGTGTATTGATGTGGGAAATTTCTAGCGGACTTCCTCCATTAGAAGATAAGTTTGATAACAATCACGACCTTATTCTTGCTATTACTTTACACAAACACGTGAAACTACTATACCAGATACACCTGAGGACTACGAAAAACTTTATAAAAAATGTTGGAAACAAGAGCCTGATCAAAGACCAATTATTAAAGAAGTGCTGAAAAAACTTTGAGGATGGGATTTGGAAGAAAGATTGATGATGAAGATGAAACAGCCAAAAGTAAATACAATAATTATAGTTAATGCTATATTACTTTGTTTTAATTTATTTTAATTTTAAATATAGATATAAACACAAATAATTTAAAAGAAGATTACGATAATAATAGTAATTTTGGTGCTGTTGAAGATATTCACTTTGATGCTTATGCGGGATTATGTGGTAAGTTCAATTTAAATTTTAATCATAAAAATTACCGTTACATGCTTATTAATTTAAATTAAATTGTTTAAATTTTAGTAACATCTTATGAAGATTAGAATATTTTTATTTACATTTTTTTGTTTTAAGTTTCTTCATTTTAATACGTTGAAGTGAACATTGTATTGAGAAGCTATTTTAGCCTTTTTTTTAAAAAAAAAAATAATGCCCCAACTAAAGTTGATTACGTTTTGTATAAATCATTTTCAGCAGTAAAAATTTAAATTATTATAAATATTTTATTATTAATTTAAAAGTTTTTTTATCTTATTTATTGACCTTTGAGTAAATTGATTTAGACTTAATAATAACTCAGTTTATTAAATAATTAAATTATGAGTATATCATTATTGTTATACAAAAATTTAGCTACCCCAGTTATAAATAAATAATTGGGCTCTTGTTTATGTTTAATGTTGAGTTTAAATCAATAAATAATGATCTCAATTAGCTAGAAAATAATTTCATCCTCCAGATTTAATGATACTCGATATCATCATAAAAAAATATATGAAGTTATTTCCTATAAGTCAATTTTCCAAAATTACAAATAATTCTTGAAGTGAGTAAACAGGAAATGAAAAATTTTTACAGTATACGGTAAATTCCTATTCAAATTTTATTTGACATATGATCGAAAGTCATATTGCTTAATGAACATTGCCATTCTCGTTTGTTGAATAAATTTCACGAGAAAAAAATTGAATTTGTAGAAGAATACTAACCGAAAAATTAGGATATGACTACATTTTTGAAATAGACTCATGCTAGTTCTGAAAAAAAAAACAATACGGGTAAGTAAGGTAAATAGATAAACTCATTTCGCAAGAGAGCTTCTTTACAAAATATTTATAAATTTTGTTTAAAGTGATTTCTTTCAATTCTTTAACTTTGATTCGACGGTTAAATTCAAAATTCTCATTTTTTTTTCTTTCACCCGAGCTACATAAAGTGCGTTGTAACCATTTAAAATTTATAAAATATCGAAATATTCCCGTAATTTCTCATTGGACCGTACACGTAAAAAAAAAAAAAAAAGTACTCATGAATTCCAGTAAGGGATTAAGGATTGAAGAGTTTAGCAAGCATAGGAAACTTAATTTAATTTGTTTAGCTCGTTTGAACAAATAAAAAAATGATGGTTATAAATGTTAATAAATTATTTTAACAGAATTTGTTAAAACATCATTTTTATTACTTTTTTTTCACATAGTGTAAAATAAATAAATAACATTAGTCATCACATGAATGTTTATCCTTTCAATAAATTACAACAATTATCAATAGTGATAAAAGAATATTCCTTATTTCATTCCATGAAAAAAAGGTTTCATTCGTTCACTATATTCTAATTATTTATCTTTACCCAATTTTAAGTTCTCATCAATTATATTGAGGGCGTTAATGGCAGCCATTTTTTTAGCTTCCGATTTATTTCTCGCCGTCCCCTGAGGGTATGTAACTTGATTAATGACGACTTCAAAAGTAAATTGGGGCTGAACAAGTTTGTTTTCAACTTTTTTATTTTCAACTAATTGATATTTCGGTATACCAAATGATCTTCTTTGCGACCAAGTTTGAAGTTTATTAATTGGATCTTCATGGGGTACTTTCGTAAGTGACACATCCTGAGGACCGATTATAGATTTAGATTCGTCGTTATTATTTTCCAGGGAATTCTTTATTTCCTGAAGAAGTTTCTCGACTTTGGGTTCTATTAAAGGTTCCATAAATTCCATTACTTCCAAAAAATTTTTTTCTGCATCCAAAAATACGGCACCGACATAAGCTTCAAAAGCGTCTTCTAAAATCTTATCATTATTTCTTGCATTGCCCATCAATGCACCTTTTCCTAGTTTCAACCTTTTTTCTAAATTTAATTCCGACGCAAACTCTGCCAAAGTTTTTTTGCAAACTAACTTTGCTTTCATCATTGTAAGTTCTCCTTCATTTTTACATTTATTATACAAATAATTTGAGATTATGAGGGATATGACTGAATCTCCCAAGAATTCTAACTTTTCATTATGATTTCCGCTCATCGGATTTTCGTATGCGTAAGTTTTATGCGTCAACGCTTCTCTTTGGAGATTTTCATCTCTAAATATCCAATCTTGAAAAATTGATTTTGTCATGATTTTTTTTTTGAATTTTTTTTTTTTTAAAAAAAAAATGATAAAAGTATGTAAATATGAAACTTGAACTTGAAAGGGTGAGGATTTTTGACAAGAAAGAAAAAAAGGGGGGAGGGATTTCATTTAATCGATTAGATCGTTGGTCACACGAAACATGGTTAGGCGTAAAGTTTGTCATACATGTACTTTGCCAAATCAAAACAAATGCGTTTTTGTTTAATCTGTTAAATAATAATGGATAGACAATATTTCACTTTTTTCATATGTTCTAGTGCAGGATATGCAGATCAATTGAAATACAGATGTCAGATGACCCACCACAATCATCATTCCGATATAAGGTGGGAAACGAGCCACACGAAGTTGTGGCTATGGATCGTCTATCTGCGGAATTCAGCAAAAATCCGGCATGTCGTCACATTCGGCTGCATAAAATCATTGAAATATATCTATTTTTTTTGATTGTCGTGATCTGAAAGTTACAAATACCATTTCTTAGAGAAATAAGAATGGTTTTAAGTTTTTTAATAAGATCAGAAATACTATTGGGCGACATTGTAGGCAGCAATAAAGAATAAATATAATAAGTTCGCTTTTGTTTCGTCATCGTGTTTATTATTACGTCCTGATACCTCAATAAATCGATAGACTTTGACATAAAAATCGCCTTCTGCGCCATATATACAAGGATAATTTTATTTCATTCCTTTAATTTAATTTTCATAAACAACCTTCTTCTACGTTAATGAATGAGGAATAGAATTAATTTACCTTAAAGGTATTTGTTTGTCATAATATACATTACAAATAACATTATCGAGAATCCATGATACTTATGACAATTATAAATTTGATGAAATATGACCAATCATAAGAATTATTGGTTTTTAATTGTGTTGCGTCAATAAAGAAATATTAATAAATCAACTTTATATATAACTAAAATTTAATTTATTAATGTTTAATAAACTTCCGGTTCGAAGAGAACCAACCATCCTAACAAGAAAAACGATTTATTAAATAACCGCGGTCTCATTTCTGATCCTCGGCATAATATTAACACATTATCGTAAGCGTCCTTAGAAAATGGACCAAGGACCCGTTCCGATTAATACAGACATTTCAGGCCTATCTATGTCTTGCTGTTTATTAGATTATTAGCATAGAATATGCCGTTTATTACTCTCCATTTTTTTTGAAAAAAAAATTGATATTATATTTTATAGCGTTGAAATGGCACTGCTGTATCCCAAATGCGTTGATGTCCGAAATGCGCATTTGGGATATCCCAAATGCGAAGATCGTTTGGGATATTCGCTGTCCCCAAATGCGCATTTATCCCAAATGCACATTTCGGACAATATCCCAAATTCACATTTCGGATATCCAAAATGCGCATTTCAGATAATGTCTCAAATGCTCATTTCGGATATCACAAATGAGCATTTAGGATATTCTAAAAGACCAATTCAGCCTCATCTCGGACTGTCCTAAATGACCGCAATTTATATGAGTATATTAAATGACAGTCTTGTAATTTAAATTTTATTTATATTTAATATTTATATTTTAAAACTTTATTTTTATTTAATTGTAAATAATAATGTAAATAAACTTTTATTAGAATTTGGATATCCGAAATGCGCATTTGGGGCAAGCGAATATCCCAAACGATCTTCGCATTTGGGATATCCCAATTCGATTTGGGATATCCAAAATGCGCATTTCGGACATTAACATCAAAACAAGTTCGAGAACAGCGTCGATGATATATACTTCTGGCAGCAGGGAACACGAAAAGCTGCAGAAATATACAATTTAAACAAACCTTCCACTTAAATAATCTGTCTTGAACTTAAATAATTCAAAGAAAAGATATAATGATCGTATCAAAAAAAAAATAACAATACTTTACATGTGCAATTTGTCAGTATATTAAAGCAATTCTCTACCTGGATATATTGCTGAGTAAATATCCCGCTTAAAAGTAGGGATCCTTCGACCGATCGATTTTAACTGAGCCGATTGACTGACCGTTAATCCAGTAATATAATTGAATTATCGCAGGTTAACATCTTTAACCTTATCATCAAGTTTTTATTCCGCCCAAATATGATGGATTTTGATCTTTTACTTTAACTATTCTAACTTGGTATTTTTAAACCTTACTAATATTAAAAGATTTTATTAATATTAATGTATTTTTTTTAGGCTTACTTCTTGATATTCATTACTTTTTCATTAAATTTTAACTTCATGTTGTTTTATGGTACAGAATTATCGAGAACTTTAATTTTTTTAAATTAAAAAATTTAAGTATAATTATATGAATAAGGTTGCCAGGCATAACCCAGAGGTTTCGAAAGGCATAGAAACCCGTCGAAAACCGAAAGTTTTCAACTTTAGCCTAAAATGGGATCTCGCAACCATAAAATGAAATAATCATTTTATCGATACATCTTAAAAGAAATGATGCATGGAATGACATCTTAAACACCTTAGGGGATTACAAAGATATTGAAAATTAATTACACTCTATTGTGACAATACATTAATAACTAGTTTTCAAGTTCGTTATCAAACTCCTTAAACATTCTTGATTACTCACATACTTCAATAATCAATCAGTCTACCAACTTTACCAAACTCTATAAACTAATTATCGTATGTTATTAAATGATCAACTATATCTTCAAGTATTATCGAAATCATTATTAAAAAATATTTCAATTTATATAGTAAACCTATTACTTAAGGATATGAAGGTAAAGTTATTATTTCAAATATTATTTTACAAATATAATGATCTAAATTCATTTAATTGTTATATAATGGAAAATAAAACCAAACGAAATCAAAAATACTACAGTAAGCAGAGAAAAGACTATACTTGAGTAAATGTATTTTTTGCAGGACATTAAATTAGCCTGAGCTTTAAAGATTATCAAAAATTATTTAGTCAACCATCTAATTAAAGTAAGGTTTTATTTCCAAACGTTAAATTATATATTTAATTGTTAGAAAAAAATGATTTAATTACATGTCAGGAATGTCGGAGAATAACTTATTTATTAACTCTGTTAGTTTTTAATCACTTTCTCTATTCTGTTTAAGTCACTTTGTTGTAATTGCTTTTCGTCTAATCATTATTTAATTTTTCAAGACTGTTTGTTTTAAATTTCGAACCTATATAGTAGCAAAAAAAAAAATATAATTATACGCAATCTTTTCCGATGCAATTGTACATAAATTGCTTGTATTGCCTAGATAATTTCTTTCGTCTTATTTTTTTTTTTATCACAATTAGATTAATTTAATAAAGTTTAACAAAGTCAAAATAATAAAAATAAACTTGTATGAATTAAATTGTTAGGTTAATAATATATAACGAAATAAATAGTTTGAATTAACTAACTAATTCGCAGCATCTGTTATAAATAAATTTTTTATTCCATTTTTTAGCGTAGTTACTTTCTTTAATAAGCTTCGTAACTTGACTTTGACAAGACTTTACCAGCATTACAAAAATTGTCCATTATGTTTGTTTTTTTCAGTTCGGTAAGTGATTAGCTTTATAAACTAAAAAATATTTAATGAAAATAAAAAATAGAAAAAATCTAAAAAAAAAGAGAATTAGGAAAAATAAATGAGTTTACATTTGTCAAGCAGCGCAACAGCCTGAATCGTAAGAAATATTCCGATATGATTGTGGGCGAACTCTAATCCCATTTGGAACTCTAAAAATAATTTTGACCGTTTCGACGAATTTCGAGTATTACGATTATATCGATTTGTGATATTTCTAAATAATGAATCAAAATTTTCCCAATTAAACCCGGATATAAATCATGATGTAATTCTATTTTGAGGATAATTAAAATCACAAAGGTTTTGATGAGCATTCGTCAAAATTTTTGCGGTTATTTGCATTTAATAATAAATTTGGCAGTTAAAACTTGTTTCAACTCCTGTCGTAACCTCAGGGTTTGACAGTTAACCTTATTGTCTAAAATAAGAAAATAAATTAACAGTCAAAAATAAAATTAAAAAAAAATGGAACTTAAAAAAAAAACGAAAATAACAAAGTGAAGTATTAGTTAATAATTAACAAACCAATAGAAAAAAATGAATAATGCAACTAATGAAGTATTTTAATTGTGAGTATTATAAAAGAACCTTAAAGCAAAATAATAACTAAAGTAAAATAAAGCAAGCCTAGTACTATCATTTGTTCTCAACGTACTTCAACCTCAACTCATACTAATTGAATTTAAAAACAAATTTTCCACACACATTCAATACTAAACATCACAAGTGAAGACATCAATGAATTCAAACAATTAAAAAAAAACAAATACGGTAATTTCGAAAAAATATAAAAGATGAAAACAATAATTATGATGGAAATGATCTTATTAATGGATATAATCTTTATTCGGTAAGAAGAGCGTAAATTTTTGCAATGAAAGATTGTAGGTTATTACGAAAGAAATATTTCACAAATATCTCAAAAATTTTAAAATTTGTATAATCTCTTTTTGAAAATAACTTTAAATTGGAACTGCACTCATGTTATTATTTAATTTGAAACAATTTTCTTAAAGTTATGAGTTACCTTATTTGGAATTAAAGCCAACATGAAATATCTCATAGAAAAAGAATGATAAAAAAGCTTGCAACATTTTGTTTAACATTATACATATGTAGAATGCCTTCTCTTTTGCAATCTATATCTTTTTCTTAAAAAACTTTTGTAAATTATTTCTGAAAAAAAATGTTCTAACCTAATCTGTTTAGATTAAAAAATAAAAATTGATCATTTTTAGCTTAGAAATGATAAAGTCGTCGGCAAAATATCTTGCGACATTTTAGATTCCTGTTAGTTGAATCGGATTTATTTGTTTTCAATTGAATTTAATTTTGTTTTATATTTCGATTAGATCAATTCGGTCGATATATTTTTATTTTTTTCTGTAATATTACTTATTATAAAGGATTTGACGTGATGGTAGTTGTAGGTAATGGAACGCGTTAATGATCAATTTCAAATCAGTCTAAACCATTTTTGTAATATAACTAGAAAGGTAAAATACCGATATTGAATTTTGATCAAATAATATCATCGAATATTGAATATCGCGAGAGTCGAGAAAGTGCGCAAGGTCAAACATTTAAGCAATTCGACGAAAAGTCTAATGAGAAATCTGAAGAAAGATTGAAATACTTAACTTCAAATGTTAATGAATTTGCTAGCGCATGGGATTCGGTTATTGATGATGTAGAACAAAGACAAGTTTATCATCATCCATTGCATTTAGTCGAGCCAAAGGGGTTCGGGCATATATCTTTGCGCTATTTTTGAATATCTGATTGAATTACCAAATAATTTCTTACAGGAAATATTCACAATAACTATAGGATCTACTAAAGCACTTAAATTCATGAAGAGCCTTATTTTATTTAGGAAACCCCCCGTTTCATCATCATTTTTAGCATATAATGATAGCGCATCTGAAATTCTTTCTTCATAGAAATTTTACTTGTTTCGTAAAATGTATGTCGTCGATTGGAAGCGACTAGACAAAACTAATGACTGGTGTTAATCAATGGAAATCATTTAACAATTTATTAAAATCCGATTATGTAAGAACTGGTCGAAGTACAAGTTGCAAATCCGTGGTAAATATATTGATGGCAAATTTAAATTGAACTCATAATTGAATTTTCTAACGACTAAAAAACTTATAACATCAGAATTATTGTTTTGCATTGAAAAGTTTTATGTTAAGATTTTTAAGAATTTTGATAAGGTTCAAGTATTTAACTTTATATAAAACAAATAAAATTGACGCATGAATCCCGATTTTTACACATTTGATATTTTATTTTATTTTATTTTTATTGTTTTTAATTATTAATTATTTTAAATTTTAAAATATATAAATAAAGAATAAAAAGGTTTGTCCAAATACCTAACCAAACTTTGAGCAAATATATTTTTGATAATATATATTAATGCACTTAAAAAATTTATTTCACCATTCTTATTATATTATTTAGATTTTTCTATTTTTCAAAGAATTTATCATTTCTCTGTAAACAAATATTAATTGGATTGAAGAATATATTCCAAACAAAAATATCAAATAAAACGAATATAAACATTTTCACAATGATCAAGAAATCGGTCGGTACTTGCAGCTTTGAAAAGTATATTATGCAAATTAAAAAGTTGTTCGTGAGAAAATTAAAATATTTCGATCTGTTTAGTATAAAATCATTTATATTTGTCTCATGATTATTTTCATATAAAATTATTCACTTTGGTTGAAAAAAATAAATATGTTCTTTATTAAAGAATATAATATGGATTTTAAAAAATTGAAAATCTAAATTAAAAAAAACATTTGTTGGTGATGGCGGTGCAACTCAACTTTATGAATATTAAATCAATTCGCTTGCAAAATTTAACACATTCTATAAAGATTATCTTAAAATTAATAACAATATTCTACATAAGTTTATTTAGATTCAATTATTATAAAAATTCATTTTCAGTGATGATTATAATATAATTTAATATCCTTTACTCCAAAAGTCACTCAGCTATAATTTTCCAGTTTCGCATTGCCACAAATTAGGATTTTTGTCAACATTAAATAAATTACCTAAATTTCTCAACAGTATGATGCCTTTAAAGAGGCCGACCTATCGATCCTAACATTTTAATAATTATTTGTGGAAATAATCCAAAATGGACTTTCTCTTCTAAAATATCGATAAAAAGTATATTTTAAAACGATACCTCAAATAATTATGGAATTATCAATTATTTTCCGTATTTGTGATTTCTTAATACTTCCGCCCTAATAAAATTTGCAAAATTTTGTTTGCTCGTACAAATGATATTATTTCTGGAATAAAATTTTAGCATAGTTAAAGTTTTCGCGCAAAGTATGTAAAATCTCTTTTGAAATAGTAAATAGAAAGAAAATTGACAAATTATTTGTATCATACTTTATTAAGCTCTTCTTCAATATTAGGCTACATGTGAATACTCAATGTATCGATGAATTATATAATTGATAAAAAAAAGACGAGTTAGTAAAATAATAGGATAAATTATTGTTAAATATAGGTGAATTTTAAGTTTATTTTTTAAATTTGAATAACCGTATCATTGTATCCTAGTCATGTCATGTAATCCAACAATCATTAGTTCGTTAATTTTTAGTTTATTGATATTGTTGAAATGAATCTTCAAACATTTTTTCTTATCAAGTTGATTATGAATGGAACATTCCCCAAAAATTAATTTTTATAAATTTCTAATAAATTTAAAGTTTTTAATTTAAGATTTATTTACTATCCATATTATCTTTTTTTTAGCAAATCCAAAATTTAGTAATTTGTTAATATTAGATTTATTTTATAAATTCCGTATTGTTTAATATTACTTAAGAAAATATGAAATGGTAAAACATAACGATATATATAAAATTAAAATAAACAAAATCTATATAAAATTAATGTCCAACTGCTTAAACCATATTCATATATTATGGAACTAAATATAACAATAAAAATTCAAATTTATTAATATATACTGTTTATATTAAATACAAAATATAAATTAAATAACTTACTAGAGAACGATTTAATTCTTCGGTTTGTCCTACTAAAATATCATTATAATTATTAATACAATTAGTATGTACTGTACAGTATTTAAAACAATAATACATTAATTAGTCATTACTGCACCTTCAGCCGAAATATTCTTAATGAAGCTTATTTCAGTTCCCAAAGGCGTTGAATCCTCATTACCTTCATTTTCTATTCCAAAACCCATTTTTTTAAATTCTTCTAATACTATTTTAATACTTGGT